TAGTGGATTTATTAATTGTTTGCACACAAAGCATGGTATAAGTAATACAAAATAATGATTGTAAAAAAAAATTACATTGTTCTATATGTAGGATGGCAGTGATGCGTTCTCTATTGCCATGGAGACCGGGAATAAAGATATCGGTGTCTTGTTGTATGCCCATCTCAATTTCAAGTCTCCTACTTCGGTAAGTAATATTCAAGAAAATAATCATTACTGTAGTTTATAATAGTTATTCTTGGGAAGACACAGGAACAAAGTTAAGAAAATCAGCAATGATGTTGTGTAACTTCTATGCTATTTACAATTACTGCACAATAACTATATACTGTGATTCCCCTCATTTGGGGTACCTCCATTCACTGAAAACCCCTATTCAGGGGACACCCCCCTATTAAGGGAGGGAAATTATATCTTTTAACTATACGCCTAATCGCTATTCAGGGGACACTATTTTTTTGGTTCTGAAGAGGGGTCTACTGTATATGTGCTATACATTATATATATTATATATAGTATACAGTATCTCATATATATTTGCTATATGTATATGTGTCAAAATCAAGCATATATATTCACTTTTTTTAAATATATTTTTTAAATTTTGTGATATGTATGGTAAAGCATAATGTGTCCTTTATTTAAGTTGAATATTGTAAATATTTTTTGTATAAGCTTTATTTGCAATATAATTCTCTTAATATTAGCAATGATATCTTTATTTAAAAAAGGCTATATTGAATATTGAATAACTTAGCATAATTTTTTATGTTAACTTCTTGTAGATTTTTGGTTGTTTGATCTACTTACATTCATTAATATAAATATTAAATCCATTGCGGTGGAATTTCCCCCAATTTATCTCTCCTGTCAATTTTGAACTATTATCAGTAATAAAATAGGTTTAAACATTTTCTGAACTTTATATTGAATAACTTAGCCTAATTTTTCCTATGTTAACTTATCTTGTAGTTTTCTGGATGTGTAATCTATTTGCTATTCTTTATATAAATCGTAAGTCCATTGGGGTGATATTTCCCACAATTTATCTCTTGCGTCAATTATGACGAAAACAGTTTCATTCACATTTTTTTGAGGTGATTTCACTTTCACAAAAAATGTTTTTCTTTTCAGAGTAAACTGAAGAAAAGATCGACAAGGTAAGGATAGATTATGCTGCGGTTTACAAGCAAAGAAAAATAAAATGTTGATGTAGATGATGATAAATAATAATGCAGTATCTTATATAGCACAAACATATTGTAAGGTATTTCAGATTATAATGGTTAGGTTTAAAGATGTTGGTAATGATGATAGTGATCATGGTAAAGATGATGATGACAATTGTGTTGATGATGATGATGATTGTGTTGATGATGTTTACAGCATCACCACTTAAAATATTTACTTTATATTTTACAAAGGCTCCCTAACTTATTTACTAGTTTATTCTTACCACTATCAATAAAATGTGTATGTATTTCTGTTGTTCTTATGATTTATATTCTAATGCATGAGGCCATTGTTGAGGCAACTTTTAAATCTCACAAAACTTCATGTACAAACACAGGTATTTCATAATGTTTAAAATACAATCATAAAATACAATCATCACAAAAATGTCTTTATGTTTTATTCCTAAATTCAGTGTTTTAACTATATATCGTAAACGTACATGTTTTCACTTATTATAAATCGTTCATCTTCATAAATTTATTCTTTCTTTTCCCTTCTTCCTTTCACAAAGGAGTGATTCTGATTAGCCACAGGTTGGTAGTAGCACGCCCTCTATTGGTGTTGATCCTTTAATATCGAGCATTTCCATCCCTAATCCGGTTGCATGCATTAATATATACTGGCCGACCCAAATATATTGAATGATAATAACTACAGTTATGATTAACCTGGATATTCTAATGAAGTAAACACCTGGTACCTAGGTTATGCAAATTAGGCATGTGCCACATGAATAATGTTAACAGTAACATAGTGGTACATTCAAATTGAAACTAAAAAAAAATGACCAGAAATATTAAAAAAAAGGTTTTATATCTAAAAAAAATGTATATAATACTTAGAACAATAGTAGTTATGAAATATATTGTGAGAACATTTTCAAAAACATAAAGAATATATTAAATTATTTAATAACTATAGTACTGAAATTAATAAATAGAAAATTTACATATCTGCACTAATGTATTTTATGCTAACTGTACTTATAAATGCTTATTCCTTAATAACGTTTATACTAATACACATACAAATTCAATATCTTGGCTTGAAATAATATCATAATTAGCATTCATCCATAATATAATTCATGATTTTGGTTATGGATTCATCAAATATTCTAATTTAAATAGCATATTAACAAAACTAATGCAATGGTGTGGGTTACATTATGCTTTTTAATTTTAAAAAGTGTGAACAATTTAAGAGGTGTGAGCAATAAAAAATCCTTTATTATTGAGATGATTTGCATCAATTAAAGCAGCATATATATAAAATTCATTTTACCAAATTTATTAAAATTTTTTAATTAATAAGTCAGCATGTATTCATTTATCTATTATATCCATTTATATATCTATAGTATTTTTTTTTTTATATTAAAAACTACATTAAATAACTAGGCTGAGAATTTTATTAATTTCTAATTAAATTTAATAACATTTTTAATTATATACTCTAATATAATTAACTAGTCTGTTTTAATTAATCTATACCATATAAGTAGCATGTGTCTATTTGTATATTTATAGTATCTCATATTTTTAATTAAAAAGTATATTAAATAACTATGGAGAAGCGTGTAGAGAATTCTATTTTAATAAATAACTAAAAATTACAGCATTATTTGATAAGAAATTAAGACATCTGACAGTGTCAAGTTTGTTGTTGCCATAAGAATATATAATGTATTTATTCTCTTTTGTGGCATTACATTTCCCACTGCTTTGTTCCATGTACCTTAAGCTAGCAAATATGAGTTTGTTGTTGTACTGTATTCATCCTTGTGAAGGTTAAAGGTTAAAACTGATAACTTGCAACGTAAATTTACTAAATATGGGTGTGGTCCGCGAGGCTTAGTAGCTTTATGTTCACCCATTCTGCAACATTAGTCAAAGTGTGGCCCAACAATTTTTTTGTGGCCGCGAAAATATATTAAAAACCCTATGGGGGACGGCATACCATCTACTGAGTGGCCATCTGTAAAAGGTAATGTTAAAATGTAACATAAATTGGGAAAATGCAGTACTTAAAGGTTTTTACAAGCGCTATGGAAAAGAAAAATTTCCACCTTAAAACGTCATATGTTGGCGTGCGACCCTCATCTTTAAACAAAATTGCTTTAGCCCGCCAGCCTATTTTTATGGCTAACACTAGTACTGTATTATAGATTCAAGGACACAAACATCTCCATGGTGCACACACAGGGTATGCCGCGAGTTTTAACAAATGCGTTATACTGCTGTTTTATTCTCCTTATTGGGCATTTCACTCTTGTTCATTGTGGAAGAATTTTCTGGCAATTATTAATTCTCTGCCAATTTAATTTTCAATGTTTAACTTGTCAAATCTATCCCTACTCCTTAGCTTAGTTTGTGCAAATATCCATATAATTTTGGAGAATTTTCATAATTTTCATTGCTCTTATAACATAAATAGTAATTCTTTAATTCTTTCATATCATAGGATCAAAGGAAGATTTATTATAATATTATTTATTTATTTTGAACCATATGAGTGTGAACCATCCAGCAGAAGCTAATCATTTGGGACCCTCAAAGAAGAATAAACAGTGGTGGCGCCACAGGGTGAATTTACCCCTAGACAATTTTCTTTCCTTCCCCCCCCCCCCCAAAAAAAAAAGAAT